TGCCACGTTCATGCGCGCTGTGAGCTCCCCACTGCGGTCTCCAATCTGCAGTAGGCAGGGCAGCAGAGTGGACGGTGGGACCACGATGGGCCCCTGCACGCCCATCCCTGAATCCTGGGCATCCTGGCCTGGCGCTGACCCCTGGGCCTCTGAGAGAACTAGGACTCACTGTGAGTCTGGAAGTGGAGTCTAAAAGGGTCTGTCCCTGGGACAGGTGGCCCCCATGTTTCCAAAGGCCTCTGGTCCCATCCCAGAAATGCTGGGGTCCCAGGCAGCCCGCCTCCTGCGGCGTGGGGTCTCTTTCCCAGGCGCCCTTCAGCAGGCGTTAGCTTGGCCTTGACCCGGCCTGGCCTTTCTGGGTCCAGTCTTGCACTCTGTGGCTCCTGGGGGATGCTCCCAGGGTGAGATACAAGGCCCAGAAACAAGCGGTTTGCCTGAATCAAGCCAGAGAGGGTGGGCCGTGGTGGGACTGCCCCAGTAGGCTCTGGGGACTGTTCTTGCTCTAGGGGGACGGGGCCTGGCCCTGCTGACCACTACTGGAAGGGGTCTTCACACAGAGGCCTCTGCCAGCCTGAGGGTTCCTGCCCACCCCCCACCTTGGGTGGGCGAAGGGTCCATCTTTAGCACAGACAGGCTTGGGGTATGCAGGAGGGAGGTGATGTGGCCCTGCCACTGGGGCTGTTTCTGGAGTTAGGATGGGCATGAGGTGACCTCAACACAGTCCAGGACCCGGGAAAGCCCAGAGTTCACGGTGATGTCTCCACCCTGACCACAGTAGGAGGCCCCGGTGGGCAGAACCCACAGACACCCTGGGTACTCTCTTGAGGAAGAATAGACTCCATTTCCCAAGACAGCGTCCAGTTGTGGGGGTTCAGGAAAAACCCCTGGGGGCAGGAGGCGGGTAGTCACGAGACCCCTGAAGGACTAAGGACCAACCTCAGAAAGGACGGAGGGGACAGTCCAGGAGCACAGAGGCACGCTCGGGGCAGAGGGGACCCAGCATAGCCTGGAGTGGGCGGGGCGGTGCCTGGCGGCCTCTGGGAGGGAGGCCCGGCTCCACTCACCTCCTGGGAGATCTGCAGGTGTTTCTTGGCAAAGGTCAGGGCCTGCGCCGGGCTCCCCATGGACACGTAGGCGTTCCCCAGACTCCAGCATGCCCGGCCCTCGCCCACTCTGCCGGAGAGGGAAATAGTCCACACCTGCCCTCCCAAGCCTGGCCCTCATCTTGAGCCCCCAAGCCTCCTGGGGGTTAGGGCCCTGAGGTGGTGCTGGTCAGGGCCCCACACTCGTGGTGTGAGGAGGCCGTGTGGCCTGGCCCCAAGGTCACCAGCACCCCAGGCCAAAGAGGCACGGGCAGGATGCAG